CCACGGGGCCCAATTCGCCTGCTCTCCAGCCGACAGCAGTCTCTCCCCGATCCGAGCGAGTCGATCTCGTAAAACACTCTCGCAACAAGTAGTAGATTCCAGCCAGGGCATGCTGCTTCTTTTTTTTTTTTTTTTTTTTTTTTTTTATACTAACACATGCACACACGCTGGTCTAGTCCCAATCGACCCTCGGTTGAGGCTTAGCACCGAGTTACTGGAATGTGCTGCAAGAGGTCGTAAGCCTTCTGCGTCTGCAACTGACTTTGACCCGCTTTTGCTGCTTTCGGTATCCGTCAAAGGGATAACCCGGCTGTCTTGTTCTGTTTGTTGACTCACTGTGACAAACACCTGTCCTCTTGAAAGGAAGTGTGAGAATTCCACAACAGGGGCACCCGTAACGGTCGACCGGCCCTGAAAGGACACCGAGAAGTGCATTGTGTCGCAATGTTGTGATGAACTGGGAGTTTGTTTGCGAAGGCCGCCAAGCTGTTCTGATTGTGGAGCAACCCGTTCATCTTGCCGGTTGCTGATATTGGCCCCTGCCGAAAGAGTTTTTATTTTTCCCCCCTGCAACTCCCCCGGCATCCCGTTTTGTAATACATCAACCATAAGTTGGTGTGCTTGAAGGGCGGCTGGTCCGAGGAGATCCGGGTTCAACTTGGGTTTCCTTCAGGTACTTCGGAGGTTTGAGTGACACATGTTGTTTGTCTACATCAGGGGTGCTGATACGTCGATAGCTATCGACCGGTAGCTCGCGGACTGGTCCCAAGTCGATCGCGAGTGGTGTAGATGGAAATGCGGGAGGGCAAAAAAAAACATTTGTGTGTCCGTGTTATTATTTTACATTTTTGTGTTACTGCACCCTAAGCATCCGATCAGTCTCACTTTCACAAAATAGGATTTAAAAAAATAAAATACAATTAAAAAAAAAAAGCAGGCCACTTTTAACCGATGGTGTCGCCTGACCTGCCTCACTGGAAGTTGTTAGCGGTCAGCAGTCTGCAACTGCAGCGATTAAGACCCATTGCGATACATCTTTTGTTTTGTTTTTTTGTGTGCCAGGAGAAACATTTTAAAACGGTGCACACGAGCTACGTTCGTGATGTTCTTGTACTTAAGCGAAAGTGAGTCTCAAGTCTCTACTAAGGTAGGCGGTGATTTCCTCTTCACAGACTCACAAACTCTTATCTGCTTTAGTTTTCAGTTTCATTCATGTCGAGGGCCGTTATTGTGCGGGCGTGTGTGCTCGTATACGTGCAAGTGCGCTAACGGCTCGATCGCGGCAGGTTGGTTGGTTGATTGAAAAGTAGATCTTAAGTCGAAAAAAAAGGTTGGGCACCCCTGATTTGGAGTCTTCGAACCTAATATGCATATTGGCAGGAAAGCCACAATTGAACTTCGGACCCCATCCCCCCTCACCCCGCCCCGCAACTCCACAACTGTGAAGCAAGCTGTGCAAAACGACTTGCTCGCCATGCTTGTGTGTCTCATATCTTGCGGTGCACGCCAGTAACATCAAATCATCCGGATCTGCTTCCGACTGAATGGAAGATCCAGTTAGGCTTGCCTGACGTAACCGCCGCTAATTTGCTGTGCTGGTTTCGCATGAAATACAAAATGTTCCTGATCAGTAACTCACCATAGTCTTTTTTTTTTTTGCTGCAGCGGGGTTGTTTGCGTTCACGTCCATGACGATAATGTTGGCTCAAACTGGAGCAGTCAAACGGGTAACTTGCGCCGTCAAGAGCTTTTGTGACCCTGACTCGCACATCTACTACCCCCCCCCCCACACACCCCCACATCTGTGACCTCTGAAACTCGAGTATCGCAACCTCAGGCGCAGAGGCTGAGCCGAGATAAGAAACAGAGCCACTTTTAAATGAGCTTTTCATGGAATTGCACAGGGGGAGGGAGGTGGGGGTGGGG